CAACAGACGACAGGCACAACTATAGAGCACTGGTAGCGGCTATAGAACTAAGGTATGGAACTCAAAATCAGTCCAAAGTCTACAGGGCTAGGTTTAGGACGAGATTCCATGCTAAAGGGGAGAGCCTGCAGGAGCTGACACAGGATATGGAAAGTGTGGCACACAAGGCCTACCCAACTGCACCACCTGATGTGTTCAAGCTGTTGCTGAGGGATCAGTTTGTAGACGCCATGGACAGTCCACAACTAAAGATACAAGTGAAGCAAGCACACCCCTCTACTATGAAGGATGCAATGGCCAGAGCTCTTGAATTTGAATCCTACGTTAAGTCCAGCACAGAGGTACCAAGGTTGGTGCAGTCATCAGGATTCAAGGCCAGAAAAGGTCAGCTTTCAGAGAGGTTTGAGGGACTTTGCTGCCACTGTAAAATCCGGGCACAAGAGAGCTCAATGCCGTCAACTTCAACACAGGGAAGATGCCATGGTAGGAAAGGCTGCTACCCAGAGAGGTTGTTGGAATTGTGAAGAGCAAGGACATATAAGGAACCAGTGTAAGAACAATACAACCAATGAGTCAGCTTCGGTAAACCAGTAGTAGTTGGTGCTGAGGGATGCCCACCAACCCCCATTGTGAAAGTCCCAACAGCTAAGTGAAAAATGGCTAGCACACATAGTGTCTACGTGACAAGAAAGCTGGATGGCCAAAAGTACAACTTAGATTCTGCATCTCAGCACACCCTTGTGAGTATCAAGGTGCTAGATCACAAAGGAGTACCAGAAGCTATACATAAGCTCTGTGGTGTGCTAGGACATTATGCAAGGTTGTGGGGACCAGTGTGGGTAACTATTGAGCTCATGGGCATGAAGAAAGTATACTTGGCTGACATTGAAGACCAACACATATTAGGATTAGACTATTTACTACCGAGGAAGTGTGTAGTTATTTTTGATAAAATGATGTTTGGGTAACAACAAATGCCGAATTTCGGTAAATGTTGCTGCTTCTATTGATTTGCATGTCACAGCACTTAAGTGAACTACAATACCCCCTATGTCGGAGAAGATAATTCGGGGTAGAATAAAATAACATCC